TCATGGAGTTCACAGACCTCCCCCGGAATCTGAATGGTGGACCTTTGGTTAAGAACCCCAGAATTAAGGTGACAAACGTATGGGAGGGAAACAGCCATGCACTGTGCTTGGTATTGCGAAGAACGAGGCCACCGGTCCATTTGTTCAGAGGAAACTGAAGTGGCTGATCTCTGATGTCTGGGGTTCTGGGGATCGATGGGAAAAGGAAGTCGCGTTAAGAAGTTAAAGGGCCGATTAAGTGGTCTGGAGAGCAGGACGTAGTAGTGCTAGCTGCAGTGCCGTCACCAGTTCCCTCGGTTCTTAGCTCCCGAGGAAGTCAGGATCACAAGTTCCATCCCGTGCAGTCTGGGGCTCGAACGCCGGCAATTTGAACAGAGGACCTCTGTCAACGCCGTCCTCGGAACCACACTTCATCCCACTGCACTCAGACTCCTCACCCTGCAGCTTTTCACCGTTTAGTGAGGTCACTACAGGCAAATGTCAGAGCCAGTAAACGTTTCCTTCTGATGCCTCAGCCACATTTCCTCTGAAACCCTGTTCTAACACCCTTCCCTCCTCCCAGCCCCCCTCACCTCTCCAAGGTGCTAAGTTTAGTGAAGTAAGTGGAGATAAAGGCAGTAAGGAGGAGCAGGGATGAAGAGCTCCAGATGGGCCAAGAAGACAGAAGGAACTTGCAGGGGAAGCCATGCTGGCTGGGAGAGAAAGCAGAACGCTCCTCCATTTACCCAGAGCTTTAACCTCTCCGTGCCTCAGTTTTCTCTATCTCTAACATGTTCAGTCACAACGGTGCCCACATCATTTGGGTTCGTTAAGAAGACCAAATGAGCAGTCCCATGCACAGCATGAGCAGCAGGCCTGGCACGTGCTTTTCTCTGAGTACAATTATCATCAATTGAGGTCAACTATTGCAATTATTATCTAGCTAATAGAGCTTCCTCTGTTAGCTTCCTCCGCACTAGGCATTGTTCTCAGAGCTTTGTGCGCCTTGAAGCATTTAATCTTAACCTGTTGTAGTCCCACTTCACAGCTGAGAACTCTGAGGCGCAAACAGTTTGCTCAAGGTGATGTAGGTTGGCGGGAGGCGAGGCAGAGCAAGGATTTGAACCCAGGTGCGGGAGAGCAGGGCCTCCACTCCTCTTGACCAGCCCGCGCTGCCTCCCATAATTGGCAGTTATTGTCACCAGCAGAGAAGGCTGTGCATCCCAGGCCCTAGGAACACAGGACAGGGTGAAGACAGAGATGCTTCTGCATTGAGAAAAGCAGAAATGTGGGGGTCAGGGCTGGGAACGGGGTCTTCACCCAGAAAAGTTGGCGAGGAGACTGTCCACTGTTTCCTGTACTGAGCACTTACTTCTGAGAAATGAGTAGGGACAAGGGGCGCCCTGAGAGCCTACCAGGGGCAGCACCCAAGGACGGGGAAGGACAGGATAGAAGGATGGCCAGATCCTCCTGTGAGGCCCGCACGTCCACAGCTGCCGGCACTTCCCTGTGCTTCGCTGTCATCCTCATCAAACCAAAAACTCATGAAAATGAGTGTCCGAGTCAGGGCCCGTTTCCAGAATGTGAAGAAGTAGGATTATCTGCCAGTCCCTGGCTCCCTGCTCTAAAATACGGCCACCTCCTGATGCAAGGATTGTCTTGTTTTCCACTTAATTCCCAGTGTGGTGCCCAGGAACTGGCCCATCATGCCACTTGGTAACTGGTGGATGGGCAGACCAACAGACAAGACAACAGAGGTTGGATGGATGGACAGATGGGTGGGTGGGTGGATGGATGGATGGATAGATAGGCGGACAGGTTGGTAGACGGACAGGTGAGCGGATAGATGGACAGATGGATGGGTGGGCAAATGCAGGTCCTCCTTCCTGCCGCTTGTCTCCCTCTGACCCTTCCCCTCTTCCTTTTCTTTCCATGCCGCTTAGATGCTGGCGATCACAATGGCCTCTTGTGTCCACCCTTCAGCTCCTCTTCCTTTGCCCCTCTTTTTCCATTCCTTTCCTTGCAGTGTGATGGTTGAACAGAGTTGCCCCCCGCCCCAGCGAGGTGCCCCAGAGCCGCAATCCCTCTGCCTTTCCGGGTGGAGTCAGGGAGAGGCTGAACAGGAGGGCAGGCTCCCCCTGGGTGGTGAAGCATGGGAAGGGGAAAGGCAGAGGGGCCCTGAGTGGGGACACAGCCCTGGGTTCCCAGCAGAGAGGCCAGTGGAACAGAGGACCGAGTGTTGTCCAGCTAGCCTGCAGGACATGTGATGAGTCTCGGTGGGTGAGATAAGGAATATGCACGGTTCTAATAAATATTTGTAGGATGGATTAATTAATGATTGAGGGAAACAGTCAATATTTGATGCTGTTATAAATACTGAAAAACTAACAAAGAACGGAGAAAACTGAAAACTTGGTCTGATCTATGGGCGATGCTCTTTAGAGCCATTGATGAAAATTTCCTTCTGGTTATTACCCTGTTCATTCATCCTACATAGAATCGTCCGTCACCTGCTGCGTGTGCAGTGTGTGTGTGTTTAGGCGGACTTGAAAATGAATAAGACAACATCGTTGTCCTCGAGGAACTTAGTATCTAGTCATGAAGGTAAGAAATACCTACAAAGAATGTCAACATGGAGTGTGATGAATGCCACAAGAGTTTGCAGAAACATGCAGAAAGTACATGTGTTAAATGCAAACTTCAGTCTTCCTTGGAGGGAGGCTATGAGGTGTGGCGGGAGTGCTGCCCCAGACTCGGAAGGGTCCCCTGCCGTTGGCTCTGAGGGCTCGGCCTAGGATCTGAGGCTCTGACCCACATCTGTGGGCTGAGCTCCTTCCAGCCCTGGAATTCTGCCGTGCCAGCGCCATGGCTCCTGCCAGGGGTGGATCACAGATGTCCTGGAGGACCCTCCCCCCAGGGCCTAGGAGAGTGGCTCTGCTAATCATTCTTCAATGCCAGACGTGCGTGGTGGGTTTTAATTTCAGTGCTAAACCACTCTGCTGGTCTGCACAGCCGTCTGTTGGCGATGCTGCCTGGTCATCTGGTTTATATCATTAAAACATTAGAGGAAATGGTAGTCACAAGAGGGCCAAGAGGGGACAGATGGGTTGGTAGAGATGTTCCTCAGTCCTCGTGACGTAGCTCAAAGCCGGTGCTCTTGTCACACTCAAGTGACTGCTTTCAGGAGTGAGCCCCTTGCTGGGTCCAGGTGGGTCTGCACTAAGGCCAAGCGGCTCCCATATTGCCCCAGTTCTGCTTTCCTCAGGTAAACCTGAGAGAAGGCCAGTGCTGTGTCAGCTCCCTCATTCTCAGGGATCTGACCCTGTCTGACCTTTGATCAGAGAGAAGGAGAGAAAGCTTTGTTTCCAGTTGCATTTGCTTGAGAAAGCAGGGATAAGTTCACAGGATTCCACAAATACTTGTGCCCTGCTTCTAAGCACCCCCAGGAACTGAGTTTTGAAAAACAGGTGTCGGGCTTTCACGCTAAGCCAACAGGGCCGGGTGTCTCCTGGAAGAAGATAAAGTATCATTTTGAGCAAAACGAGAAGCCATTTTGCGGCAAAGACATCAGGACCTCTTTTCTGAGTAGAAATAAATCCTGATTAAGGCAGCCAGGCTGGAGGATGGATGGAGGAGCAGGACGAGGGAGCTCAGCAGCCATGCCTGAACCATGCTTAGGCTGAGGGCTCCCCACCAGGGGCTGGGGGCTGTGCTAGGTATTTTGCTGGAACATTCTCTTGCCCCTCGATCCATCCACCCCCACCACATATGGAAACTGTTATCAGGCCACTTTCTCTAAAGCAGATTAAATTTGCTCCATAGATATCTGTTAAGTACCTGGATTTGAGACATGAGAAGAAGGTAAAATTAAGCTGATTACTTAACTCCAGTATCTTTCTGTATAAAATTCCTCTATCTAAGGAGAGCACCATTTTTTCCTGCTTCTCGAATGTACAGTAGCGTGAAGTGAGTCATGGAGAAAGACTTTGAAGGTTCAGAAAACCTTTGGATGGAGACAGAGAAGGGTGTAGCACAGACACCAGGCCCGAGCGCCCTCAGGCATAGCCAGGCTCCCGTGACACATCAGCCCCCAGGTCTCTCAGATGATCCCACCCTCCTCCTCTTGCAAAATTTTGCTTCTCTCTGCTCTTCTTGTCTGAATTTTTACTAGCAGGAGATTCATTCTAGTTAGAAGTAGTCTATCCTTAAAATACAAGTACCTTGAAAAGGCAAATACAAATATTTTACAAATAAAAATATTAAGCCACTGCCATTTTTATTCATTCTTTCTTTTAGTCATCAAATATTATTGGAGTTCCTACTATGGAGACATTTTAGAATTCACATTTAGAATTAGTCTGGAGAGAGAAGTTCAGTGGCAATAATAGTAACAGCAACAGTAGTCACTAATGTTTATTGGGTCCTTACGTTGGGCCTGTCACCGTGCTAAGTCATTTGCATTCGTCATCTTAGTTAATCTGCACAGCAGCCCTTTGATATAAGGTAGAGTTGATATCACTGCTCACTAAGCAAGATGTGGAGAGATTAAGTCACCTGCCCAGGGTCACAAAGCTCCAGGGCAGAACCAGGGAGCTGCATCAGTTCAACTTCAGAGGAAGAGCTTGTAACCAATGAAGTCTCGTTTCCTCTAGAGGAACCACAGGCTCACACAGGCGGCGGTGAGGGTAGGGTCTGAGCATCTACCCTGAAGCCATTCCTCCCTCCGCCCAAGCCCACTTCCCCCTTTCTCCACAGCTGCATGGTAGGCGGCCAGGCCACACAGAGAAATGCCCTGCGCATCGTTCTGGTGACCTCTCCAGCCCTGGAGGAAGCAGCTGGGAAGAGTGCCCTGGGTTAGGACAGGCAGCTCCACAGGGAGGCGACTCTGCCGAGGAGACCTACAGTGACGCAGGAGTCACCATCGCAGGGCTGGGGCCTCCTGCTCCTGTCGTCTGCCATCTCTTGGTTGGAAGCAGGCAAAGGGGGCCTTTGGCTAAAGTCGTGTTTCTCTTCCTCCGCAGGCATGAATGCTTTACAGTTACAGAATCTGGCGACGCTGGCGGCGGCCGCAGCCGCGGCCCAGACCTCAGCCACCACCACCAATGCCAATCCTCTGTCCACCACGAGCAGCGCCCTGGGAGCCCTCACCAGTCCCGGTAAGGGGTGCTCCTCCCCGGCTGAGGATGCGGTCTGCGTGCACCTGGGTGCCAGGGGCAGGGGTGCTGTGGCCAGACAGGGCCTGCGATCTGCACGGGGCATCAGGGCCATTTCATTTTTTTTTTTTTTTTTAAAGAAACAAAGTTTGAATGCGTGTGTGTGTTATTTTCCAAGGATAAAAGGAAAAAGAGTTTCCTGTGGGAGAATCCACCGTGTTAGTGATTCTGACACAATCCTTTTGTGTAAAAAATGCCTATATTGTCGGTTCAATCCTCACTAAGTCTTCACCATTATAGAGAGTTTTATGCTTTTTTCCTCCTTTTTTTTTTTAAAGCAATTTAAGAATTCTCTGTTAAATCTCAAAATCCCTAACCATTCCAGTGTCATATTTCACACCAGCTCTGTCTTTCACGTTTGATTTTAACATCCACGATCTGGAGGGGACCATCCTTGTTCGTTTATGGTCATGTTCTGGGCTGTGTAATTTAACATCCTTTGCCTCAGAAATTTTGTTGCCTTATTCCAAAGCAGATGCCATTTTCCTCTTCATACAAGCCAGATGTGATGTGGTTGCTTAGATACCATGATTTGTTTTCTAAAAAATGTTTCGCTGGCTTTTCTTCCTCTCTGAATTTTCTAGACCTTGAGAGATGATCTCACCCCCTCTGGTACATGGAGGAGCTGGCCTGGACAATCTCCAATCTCGCTTGTAACTTTGAAAATTCCATGAAAATTCAGCTATGCCCAAAAGATTAGCTAAATGCTGAAAAAGCTTTTATGTAATAGTGAGGGGATTTCTTGCAGAAAAATGGAAAAGGAAAGAGCTACAGCAGACCTGCTTTCCGAAGGCTCTAGACTTTAAGGAGCCTTGAAGCCCGCTCCTTGAACCTGTGGCATGCTCAAAAGCAGCGGTCCTTGATTTGTGTAGGAAACATTGTGTATCTAATACATTTCCCTCTGAGTACGGTTTAGAGGGAGAAACCTAACAGATGGTTAGGAGAGGCTGGGAGATTCACCCTTAATACGTGGTAATCTCATAGCAACAGCAAATAGGTGCGTAGATTTCATTCTTCAAATGTCTTCAAAAATGTACCATTACTACATGTGGGTCGCGTTTTATGCAATAAACAGTATTCCTGAAAAACCAACTTTAAGTCATTTTTTTCAACAAATCAAGTTCTAGCTCTAATGCAATAATATCTAAACTTGTTATTTAAATAAACCCTTTAATGACCCTTTTTGAGAAACAAACATTTTTGACATGATAAATTCCCCCTTATAAAATAAGTGATTTTTCTTTAAAACAAATTAAATATTTGACATCTCTAATGTATCAGCTTTATAAATCAGGTTGAAGAGTATTTTCTCAAGGAGTAATTTTTATCTCCCCTGTGAGGACCATGAAATGATCACGTTACAACAGCACAGAGTATTGGACATGCATTTTATTGCATCTTTAGTCAGACGCTGATATTTTTAACTATGTTTGGGGAAAGAAACTAAAAATCACTCAAAAATCTGAACACTTTTATTTTTATTTGTTTATATGAAAATGAAGAGGATTAGCTCCTTTTTTAAGAGAAAGCAGTATTTAAGTATATTTTGGCAAAAATTTTTCCAACCTGGGCCTTCATCTTCTCTCCCTTTTGGGAGTAACCAGCAGAAAATGACCAAATCATTGGTAAGCAGATGGAACTCTTTTTCTTATGAAAACTCTTTTCCTTGTGCAGCAAGCAGCCAGATAGCTCACAGCTTGGACCATCAATCCTTAAAGAATCTAACTTTGATATATTTAATGTAGTTACATTAAAATTATTCTATTCCAAAGGCAGACCATTATCACAAATGGACATTTTGGTTAACAGTCTCTGACCCATTGTTTGCTTCTGGGGGTCATTTGACTTCATTAAAAGATGTTCTTCCATTGTGATATTTGGGCTGGAATGTGCCTTGGTTCCAGGGAATCAGAATCACTATTCGACCGTTTCATTCTTCTTTAAGAGAAGACTGGTCAGTCTAAGAAACGCAAACGAGGATGGAAGCTGATGGGTGCAGGCGATGCCACTGATCAATAATCGTTATTAAGTGGCTGTCTAGTGTTAGGCACTGCCCTCAGGGCTGGGGACACTGGAGGGGACAGAGCAGGTGCGCGTCTTGCTCTCATGAGGCTCCCAGTCTGTTGGGGGAACTCAGACAATAAGCATGTGTGATGGGCAGGTGCTGTGAAGAGAGCTCTGACAGGAAAAGGGGGAGAGAGAGAAGGAGATTGAAGGAAGCTTCCCTCCTGGAAAGGTGACACTGGAGCAGAAACCTGAATAAAGGGAAGGAAGCCACATAGATATCTGGGGAAGGGGCATTCAGGTCAAGGACAGAGCAAGTGTAAGGGCTGTGAGGCAGCTGGGAGCTTGGTGTGATGGCAACCTAGCAAGGAAGTTGTGGTGCTGAGCGCAGGGCTGAGGGCAGAGGAGGAGCGGAGGGATGATAGGGGAGGTCCACATCCATGGATCCACGTGGGTTCCATCCAATATGGTCAGGAGCACGACTATGCTGTAACCTTCATAAAATGCAGGGTACTCTAACAGCCTGGGAAGAGGGCCACAGTATGTGTTTAAGGAACTTTAAACATACTTGGCCATTTTCAGTTTCTTCTGAGACCTTAATGAAAGGGAAAATGTGTCCCGAGATGTATTTTCTTTCTTCCTGCTCCCGTCAAAACCTGCCACTGGCAAAGTGTCCTTCCCTTCGCTCTTTAAGTGGCATTCTGCCCTTCCGTAAATTCTGCTAACTGAGGTATCATGGAGAGTGAATTTGCTCTTCTCTATTGAGGAATGCTTTGCATAATAGCTGAAAGTATTTCATTAGAGTCCTGAAGTGTAGCAGCAGAAATGATTTAAATCTACATTTCAATTATTTTTCTTAAGTGTAACTAAAAAATCTGGCGTTTAAGTGAAAGTAAATTATTTGTCTAATTTCCATCAGGGACTTTTTCAAAGTCACAGAAAATGTGGTTAGTGGAATTCATGACTCTCCACTTCATCAGAGCAATTTCCTGTGAAATAACGGGGGTAGGGCAGTTCCCAAGGCCAATGCCATTATTTCTTTTTTAAATGATAAAAAACAGGGCTTCCTATTGCACCATTGACAAGTCCAGTCAAACTGTGAAATGCTCTGTATAGACCTTGGTTTTACCTGATTTTAAATGTCTCTTACGCTTCAGACAAATCCATCTAGAAAGAAAAGGGACAATTCAATCCCCAAACTATTAATTTTTTTAATAATTGTAAATTTATCATTTCAATTTTGCATACCCAGGAACAGTCTCCCTACAGCATTATTATAAATGATTTTAAACAGTCTATGCTTTAAAACATGAAAGATTAAGCTTTAATTTTTGTTAAAAAAAAAAATCCCCTTAGGCAATAAAGAGGTTCCTTTGTCTCATGGCCTCGAAATAAAAATTAAAATAGTCTAAATTGCCCATGGTTAGAATAAGTGTTTCATGCAATTATCAGATGGTAGTGAATAAAATTAGAAATTAAATCATGAAAGAATAAAAACCAGGTAAATGCATATTATGCCTTTTATGAGTTTCTCACGGGTCTTTTGAAGCCTAATTTAATCGTGTTTCTTGTCTTTTATTTTGATATGATAATTTTTTCTTTGTTTACTTCAAACTCCTATTTAGTTAATTAATTCTTGGGTCATTTCTACTTACCCCATTTTGAACCTGTTTTTGAGGAATGTGTCTCTGTGTTGGTAGAAAGAGGCAAATTATCTCTAAGGCATGTAGCTAGGTCTTAAAGAAAGATGATAATATTTGTCTTCTACCCAGCTTGTAAATTTGCTGTTTTTGCCTGGTGATTTTGAGAGCTCAGAAGAGCATTGTTAGTACCACAAATGAACACTTCTTTGGCATTTTTCTGCTTAAAACATAGTATTGCATTCATGTGCCACATTCTTCCATTGGCCTTCTGTTTCCTTTTTTTAAAGGTGTTTTAAATTCTTCAGACGCTTCCTTAAGTCCACTCAGTCCAGTGCGCGCTTCAGGATAACAGATTATTTCTTTCAAATAGTGTGAGGCATTTTAAGATGCTGGGAAGCATTTTTCTATTCCCACCGTTGGCTTTTCAAAGAGTTTTCACTGTGAATTCTAGGCAGCATTTCTTCCCCATCTTCAGGATGTTGCCTGCCTCCTTGAGGCCATGAGGGGCACAAAGTTACAAGGAAGGGGTGAAGCTTCCTTGTGGACTGTCTGAGACCGGAGGTGTTTTCCTGTGAGTCGGACCTCTCCTGGGCTCCTCACAGTTACCAGTGAGCGGTTACCTTCACTGTCACACGCCCGTGTCACCAGGGCAGCGGTGGACAAGAGCAGCAGACTGAACAGCTGGATGAACATTGGGAGACAAGTTGTCCTCAGAGTCACCCCAGAGCCTCTCGGTGTTGCAAGAGGCTTTACCCTGGCCCCTAAGTGTATCTGCATGTGTGTCAGAGGAGAACTCGCATCGTGGGAGGAAATGTGATTCTTAGGCTAATTGAACCCACATTTTTGAGCCTTCTACTTTGTGCATGGAAATGAGTTGGGCCCTGCCATGCCCTGTCCCAGCTGTCACATGCAAGGAGCAGGAACACAGGTAGAGTCTGATGGGGCCAGGAGAGAGGGACAGACAGACAATGAGCGCTAGGAGAGGCCATCTCCCCCAGGGCTGCTGCAGTGATCCCGCAGCCTCAGGAAGTGTCAAAGGACACTTCTTCCACAACCTTGTTCTCCCCCTGCCTCCGGCCCCGTTCAGTGGATCATCATCATCTCTTACCTTCCTCAGCGAAGTGATCTGTACAGCCAGCCTCCGGGTCGGTTGTACATCTCATCTGCCGCCACATCCGGTCGGTTCTCTCTCCAGAATAGCTCGTTCTTCCCCTCCGATCAACACTACCCAGATGGAGCCCTTGTTTCCGCTCCCTTTGTACTATCAGAGCAGCCTCCAGCTCCGCTCCTCCATCCATTCTGTACACTGTTGGCCAAACAGAGCAGCCCTGTTCAGATGCTTTGCATGTGGTTCACGGTTGTCTGGAGTAAAACAAACTCCGTAGCATGTGTTCAAGGCGCTCCCTGGTCTGCCTTCATCCCTTCATGCCAGAACTATCACTGCCCCCTAAGAAGCCCACCCTCCAGCCAAACCAGGTGATTCTTCATCCTCCCTGAACACACTGTCGGCTTTTCTGCCCTTACTCCTGCTCGCTTCTCTGCCTAGAATTCCTTCCCCCATCTCCTATGAAAATCTCCTACATCACCAATTTATTGCAGTGTCAGTGCTTAGATTAATGTACAGGCATAAAATTGGTGTTTTTAATGCACATTAGAAAAAGTATAGTTTATACTACTTCTGTAAATTAAGCTACAGTAAAAAGTGTTTGATAGTAATTAATCAAAATTGCTTTTAGAGGCTGGCCCCATGGGCTAGTGGTTCAGTTTGGTGCACTCCGCTTTGGTGGCCCAGGTTTGGTTCTGGGGCATAGACCTACACCACTCATCAGTGGCCATGCTGTGGCAGCGACCCACATACAAACTAGAGGAAGACTGGCACAGATGTTAGCTCAGGGTAAATCTTCTCAAGCAAAAAGAAGAGGAAGATTGGTAACAGATGTTAGCTCAGGGCAAATCTTCCTCAGGAAAAATAAAATTGCTTTTAATACTCTAATGCATATCTTTTAAGAATCAATGCAAATACCACCTCCACCATGAAGCCTTCCAGAAAGGATTAATTGCTTCCACATTGTATTTCTAACAGGAATACTAACTCATTCTAGACCTGGGTCAAATGCAGACTCCTTCATAAGGAGCTATATTAGAAGGGAAAAGCTGAAGACGGAGGAAAGCTGAGGTGTTGAGCAGGGCAGGCATATTCTGTAAATGCCACCCATCCACCCTTCTGCGTTACCACAGTACATTCTTCATACTTCTGTTAAGACACTCGACATATCTACTTTGTGGGATGGTTGTTTAGGCACAAGCCTTGTCTCTCACCTTCTAGATAGTAAGTTCTTTCGAAGTAGGAACAGTTTGTTTACTTGTAATCCCCCTTGCATTTGGAACAATTAATCACACAGAGGCCCTCAAATGTTTTTTTACTCAATTGAATAGCAAAGTAAAAATGTTCTAAGACAAATGTTTCAAAGCCATTTGTTCAGTCTACGACCTGTGCACATCGCTAAGAAGGAGCCTGCGTCTGTCATGGTGACACTTGACAGGGTCAGTGCACCCACCTCACGACCCGTGATTTGGTTCTTGAGTAACCCAACACTAGCCACACCCTAAGGGGAGTATTCAGGTCTGACAGGCTTCTGAAGAATGAATCAATATTAATTTACATTAGGACAAAGTCATATAAAGCAGTTTTTTATTCCAATAATTTTATGAAGATTGGCTTTTAAAAGAGTTCTGGTGTCATGATATAGAATAAGTGCGAGTAACATATCAAATAAAGGCATTTCATTTTCAGAAGAAACATCTTCTCTAAGTGGGCCTGTGAAAGATCGTCCTCAGAAAGCACTCCTTAACTGTGTGTGCCTCCCTAACCTCAGATAGCCCTCGGGTGCCCACACTAGTTAGGTAAATTTAACTTTTCAGAATATTTTTTACTCATGCTGTACTTTGGTGTTTTGTGTGTGTGTGTGTGTATATGTGTGTGTGTAAGACTGGCCCTGAGCTAACATCCATTACCAATCCTCCTCTTTTTGCTTGAAGAAGATTATCACTGGGCTAACATCTGTGCCAGTCTTCCTCTATTTTGTGTGGGATGCCACCGCGGCATGGCTTGACGAGCAGTGCTAGGTCTGCGCCCAGGATCTGAACCCGTGAACCCCAGGCTGCCAAAGCAGAGCACACGAACTTAACCACCAGGCCACCAGGCCAGCCTCTACTTTGGCATTTTATTAATTCGGGGAGCAGTTACTCATTTGAAGATTATCTGGCTCTCTTGCCCTCCCATTTCTCTCCATTGGCCCATCTTTTTTCACTGCTTATTATCAAGGAGAAGTAAATCTCAGAACAATCCACTTCCCTTTCATTAGCTATACTTTTAAGTGTTTTAGTCAAGCAGAGTCAAGTCGGTGGTTCAAATTAGCTATTTATTTATGGGGTTGAATTCGTCAGACAGCTTTACACCCTTATTACTACAGAAAGAGGACTGACATCCCATTCTTTGCTCATTTCCTGCAAATTTTAACATTCTGTGCTTTTTTTTCTAGTAGGTTTCCACAAGTTAACTTGTTCTTGACATTACAGGGCTCACTTTATTTTAATCAGTGTTAATGGAGTCGAATGTTGCATAAAATGGTCCATAAGGAAAATATCACTATAGTGTTTATAATTTCTTGATAAATTTTTTCATTCAGGCAACAAGTATTTATTGAGTGTCTACTATGTACTTGGAATTCTAGGCTTTTGAAACACATGAGTGGACAAAGCTGACAAAAATCCCTGCCTTCATGTAGTGTATATTCTAGCATTAACCTTTAAAAAATATTTGACTAATTCCCACTATAGTAAAGCGATTTGGTTAGACTTTAAGCATAAACTATATTCTACACCCTTTAAAAAAATTTCCATAACCAATTTTTTGTATACCTTATGTTAAAATTGTGTAAATGAGACCAAGGTAGGAGAGGAGGCATATTCTTTCTCTTTCTTCCTCTTCTGTAAGCTGTTTCATTTTTCTATCCGTTTGACGCAGCCAAGGGCTCTGAGAGTAGTCTTCACTGTTAGGGTGGGTTTAGTAAGTGGTAAGACCAGAAAAAAAGAACGGTACGTGGCACTTCTGCTCTGTGGCTTCTCACCAGAAGCACTTCATGAAAACCAAGTTTTTTAAAAGTTCATTGGCATTTAAAACATATTTTTGAAAAAAGTAATAATTGGGAGTGGTCTGCTTTTCTAGTAAATGGTTCGTTATTTGGCATTGATCATCCTGCTTCTAGAGTTTTTTTTTAAAAAGAGAAAAAGGCATGCAGGGTCCAGCCCCATGGCTGAATGGTTAAGTTCATGTGCTCCGCTTCGGTGGCCTGGGGTTCACCAGATCAGATCGTGGGCACGGACTTACACAACACTCATCAAGCCATGTTGTGGTGGCATCCCGCATAGAAGAACTAGAATGACCTACAACTACGATATACAACTATGTACTGGGGCTTTGGAGAGAAAAAGTAAAGAGGAACATTGGCAACAGATGTTAGCTCAGGGCAAATCTTCCTCACCAAAAGAAAAGGCATACAGATACTCCCAACCAGAGGAGGTTTGAAGGTCCCTACATGTGCTGGGTATTTTTGTTTGTTTGTTTGGTTGGTTTTTTTTGTGTTTTTTTTTTGGAGGAAGATTAGCCCTCAGCTAACTACTGCCAGTCCTCCTCTTTTTGCTGAGGAAGCCTGGCTCTGAGCTAACATCCGTGCCCATCTTCCTCTAGTTTATATGTGGGACGCCTACCACAGCATGGCTGCCAAGCAGTGCCATGTCCGCACCCGGGATCCGAACCAGCGAACCCCGGGCCGCCGAGAAGCGGAACGTGCGAACTTAACCGCTGCGCCATCGGGCCGGCCCCATGTGCTGGGTATTTTGATGTGGAATTACCTTTATATTTCACTTAGCATCAAGAAAATGAGAAGTCTCTTGAGCCAAATAGTCAGAACCACAGCTCATTCTCTAATTCATTCTAGTGTCCTGATCTGCCAGAGGGTTCTCAGCTCCCGCCATGAGAACAGCTTTGTGCGGTGGATGGGCAGCCCATGCAGTTGACGAGATGCCCCTGACTTAGAGCCGACTGCGGTCTCTTAATAGTCCTGAACTAATTTAAAGCTTAATAAAGCTGCCCAGCTAAGGCAGGGCAGACATTGATGAATCCCCACTCCGCAGCAGAGCCTGTACTCGGATTTGTGCAAGCTGATTCCCCCCGTGCCCTGAGAGCCGCTTGTTGGCCCACTGGCGGACAGATCCTGTCATGCGTTCTTAGGGCTGCCACTCACTCAGAGCTCTCTTCTCATTGCGGGGGGAGCGGGGTGCACTTCTTAGTATTTTTAGATATTGGCTCTCGTTCTTCGTGTGTTTGCTTTTGCTGGCTCTGGAGTCTGTGCTGTGTCCAGTTTTAGATTGACTGTCTGCAGCGCTCTGCACACTCTCCTCCATCATGTGGCAGATCCCCACAGATCCCCTTGTGATGGGTGTCTGAGCTCAGAGGTGTGTTTCTGTACCACACAACCACTCTGTGAGATTGTTTTCCCTACTCAATTATCCATGGTGCTGTCTGATAGCACCGTGTCATCGCTGCTAAAAAGCATGTCTTAATTGCTTAATTGTGTTTTAGATTGGATGGGAAAAGCCACAAAACTTTATTCTGGTCATAACTTCCCTGAGGTTTGTGATCCAACGTCCATGTTTTAAGACTTGAAAGCAACAAAATAGAAACGTTTAGCTGTTATGTGGTTTAATCCTGTGAACTGCTATAAACTGGATACAGTGGCCACATGCAAAAAATAAGCAAAACGCACCAACCTCGACAATCTAGCTGAAGAGCAGAAAGTGAGATAAGGTACAAGGTGTCAGTGACAGGAGAGATTCTACGCTGAGGAAAGAGGCAACATTTTTAATAGAAGAGCTGACATTTGAGCCAAAATTTTAAGACTAGGTGGAATTTTGAAAGATAGAAATAGAATGGAAGATATAGGAAATGTGTCAAACATGAGAAAAAAGCAGAAAAAGGACTGACTCAGCAAATGGAAATTCATCTCTTTTTTTTTTCGAGGAAGATTAGCCCTGAGCTAACATCTGCTGCCAGCCCTCCCCTTTTTGCTGGGGAAGATTGGCCCTGAACTAACATCCGTGCCCATCTTTCTCTATTTTGTATGTGGGACACCTGCCACAGCATGGCTTGACAAGCAATGTGTAGGTCTGCACCTGAGATCCGATCCAGTGAACTGGGGCAGCCAAAGGGGAGCCAGTGAACTTAACCACTGTGCCACCAGGCAG